ACAACTCTTCTTGAATCATTTATTATTTTCGACTATAGTTATAGAAAATTTATGACGGGAAGGCAAAAACAAACGTGATGGACAGCAGCACAGCAACTAACCGTGATCCCATGATCGTTTTTCTAAGAAAAAGGGTATACACCCGCGTCAATGCCCAAGCCACAACGTTTCGCGCTCTATCTATGCATACATGCATCCTCTTCTCTCTACCACCACACGCCCGTACCTACTACCCCTGTCTGTTTCACCTGTCGGTTCCGTGCGTCACGGTGTCTTGCATAGGAAGACCGAACCCAATCTGGCCGGCCGCGTCAGCTTGGCAACTGACGTGTCTCAGAGGGTCCCCGTTGTGCTTGGCTTCCAGGGCCAGCTGCTCGTTCCTCAACAGGCGCGCGCGATCCAGCTCGATAATCTGAGTTGGAGCGAGACAAGAAAAGGCGACGAGGGTGGGGCATGTTGGGGCGTAAGTTTGATTGGTCAAGCCCCCCACACCCAGGTGTTGATACGGTGTGCACGTCGGGACGACAGAGAGAGACAGGTATACATTGCGCTTAATTCGCAGGAACAAGATTGGGGGGCCGCATCAACTAACAAAGGGGGGTGCGTTGGGTTGTTGGGTTGGTTGTTCGTTGTACCGTCCGCTGCTGAGCACACACTTGCCGCGTAGTAGTATGTGTGTGTGTGCGCGCGCGTGTCTATGCTCATCCCATCTATTTTGGTGACACCGTCCTTCCGGTCAAGGCAAGATGTGTACCGGAAGCGTCGTAGTTTTCCCCCGGAGGGAGTGTCTAATTTTTTTGCTGAAACCAACGCCCCCAGGGGGAAATGGACGTACAGGGGGGGGGGTCGTTTTTCCTTGTTCTCCTATGCTACCCCGGGGGCTGTCTACCCCAGGGGATTGTGAGACAGGGGACGGTGAGAGGTGGTGGTGGCGTCCACACACAACGAGAGTGGCCACCGCAGTGCATAAGGCTGTCGAGCAAGCATTAAAGAGGCAGAAGGCTGAGGAACAGAAAAAAACGCACAGAATATGAAGAGAAAGAATAGAATAATATGAAGAGAAAGAGCGAAGCGAGGACACCAGCAGCTAGCTGTGGGAGTTTGCCTCGTCCTTCCGTGTCTGCCGCGAAGAAGAAGGGTTTCGATGCTTCGCGGTAAAAAAAAAAGGTTCACAACAAGCGCAAAATGAATGCTTCCCCCCCCGGGGTGAACTCGGGGGAAGTTGGCGTTCCCCGCGGGAGCGTTTCTTTTGTTGGCGAAAACGACCTACCCGTCCCTGGGGAAAATCAAAAGAAAGCATGCTTTCAGGACGAAAAGGTGATGGGGGGGGTACTTCAATTTGCAGCAGCAGTGTGTTCACAAGACCAAACTTATTTTCAGCTTTCAATCGCTTTCCGCTGCCAAATACGAAAGTGTTAAAAAAAACCACTCACCACGCCGAGTTCGAACCCCCCACCTGGATATACCTACAAGACCACCGGGGCGACCGTATACGTTCTAGGGTTAGACAATATACAGAGTGGACTAGGAAGGCGTGTGAAAATTGCGGCCCCGACCGAAGGAAGTAGACGCAGCTTGGTCGACATTCAGTGATGTGGAAGACTATGTAGGGTAGCGTGTTGTGACCGAATGATGACCCCCGCCCACCCGCTTCGCCGAAGGGAACAAGCGAAATAAAAATGGAACGGTTTACAACCAACCACACGGAAGTTTCATGCTATACTATAAGCCCAGGCAGGCATTCAAACCGCGCCGCGTAGACTCTAGTGAGAAATAATTACAAGCCCCCGAGCGGCTTACCTTGAGGTGTGCCTCGTGAGACCTCTTCGCAGCGGCTAGTGTGGCAGGGTCGGTCGACGGCCTGATTCCCGGCGACCCGAAACGGGTGTCTTTGTAGATCGTGCACTCGTAACATTTCATGAAGTCGCCGCCGGTCTTGGGCTTGATGTTTCCGCGGTACTTCTTCCAAACGCTCGTGAAGTACGCGTAGCTGGGAGTCGGTTCTCCCACGCGCCGTCGTTCTTCCTCGAAAAAATCGTACAGCTCCTGAGTGGGGCGGCAGAGGTAGAAAAATTACGCATGGCGAGCAAAGGAAGGCTGTAAGCTCTGCGTACAAATAACTGGCAAAGTAGTAGGCGCCAGGTTGGCTGAACGTCCGTGGTTGGGTGTAGTCTACACGCTTAAAATATAGGTTACGCTTGGGGGGTGGTGCTGTGTTTCACGCCACCATTTATTGAAAGTGCACTCGCCACACCGTCATCATGCTTTCTTGACGTTCGTTTTCGGGCTAGGAAGTTAGAATAGCTGCAGGCTGAAAGTTGGCCTAAGGAGTATCAATTGCAGAGGATTGAAGTAACATACGTACAACGAAACGGACGTGCAGGCTACTTGTAATTGTCGCACTAATAGCGACGAAGTACTTCCATGACTGGAAGCAAGAGCACGAGATACACCACCAACTCAGAGAAGCAACGCGGGAAATGACCCAATCAAACACACATCACACTCCGCGGAGCAAAGTATTCAACGCAAACAACCGGCCCTTCTCTGCTCAGTGAGTGGACATGAGAGTAATCGGCTCAAATAATTGGCTCACCTTCATGCTGCCAAGGTAGAGGTAGGTTGCGCTCAGGTGAGGCATGTGCTGGCCGAACATCTCCGCATAACGGTCAATATGGCCTAAGCACGCGTCCTTCATGGCCGATACAGTCCCAAGCCTGGCGCGCTTGTTTCTAAGCGAAGAGGGTGGAGCGCGCATGGAGGGCAAATGGGGTGAGGGTTCGTAGGATGATGAGGTCAGGTAGGTGTTTGAAACGCGGAACATGTAGTGTTTATGCACTCGATCCCTGGTGGTGGGTATGCAGTCTATTTCGTAATAGATACTGTAGATGGAATGAAAAGGAAAGGAATTCACCCTTTGGTGACTCCATGCATGATAACAGACGATAACTTTGTGTACGCTCACTCGACCCCACGGTATAACTATCGCAAAGTATGGAAGAAAATCACGAACAAACATACATATAATTCCGTTATTTCTGCAGATAGAGAGGGGTTATCATGCATGCTATCTATCGTGCATGAAGTCACGAAAACCCTCTGCCTTGAGCGGACATTGCATACAGCAAACGAACCTCCCTTCACTCCCAATATTACGGACCACACACACCGCAGTCAAAGCAAACATCAGGCACCGAGGCAGTACGTCAGCATCGGCTACGGTGTGCCTTGTCTCTGCTCCCCGGGACCGGGTCGATCACATGTTGGGGTGTTGCATGTACCCTCCCGTGGTATTTTCCGTTTTGGATCTCACAGTAGTAGTCATTGATCAGCCGGTCGTTTCTCGCATTGGTTTTTGGTATGATACATGTACAGTCGAACCTCGCTTAACTTAACCAAAATTAACTCAACTCCCTCGGTTAACTTAACTATTTTTGTGGGAAACATGGTGGCTCGCAGAATATATTTTAGGTAGGGGGGTATCAAATATAGCTCGCGGACCCCCCTGAGAACAGCAGTCTACTCCTACCACGCAGCCGTCGGCAGCGACCGTGTTAGACTGCAGAGAGGTCTGCTGCTCAGTGCTGCACCTGCTGTCTGCGGGTATGGAAATATTCCTTCCACCCAGCAGTGCCTCGTCTGCACCTGGCACAAAACGATGCGAGGAACCTACATGCACGGTACCAGGGCACGTCTCTTCGGTGCACACATGTGCGTGTGGTCGATGGATGCACGCGTTTTGTGGTCGCGGCATTGGGCATGTGGAGGTCGTAGCGTGTGCGGGTGCGTTCCGAACCAACGCCGTGTTTGGGGTGGCCTGAGTATGTCTTGAATGCGTCGCAACACATGGGATTAACCCACAGGAGTGGTTGTAGAGTGCGGTCGACCAGAGTTTTGCGAAGTACGCGCGGAGGTTCAAGTGTTTGAACTATAGCATCTTGGTTATAGTTTTGCTCGGTAAAGTGGGCATAAAAAATATGTTCCCTCCCACGTTTCGGTCTCCTCTTTCGTGACACACATAATGGAGCTCAATGCGCGTCTATTGACGTATTAACCGCCTCTATTGGCCCTGGGGATGGTGAGTTGTGGCCCCCTGAATCTTAACTTAACTTCCCCGGCTCAACTTAACTTTTTTTAGCGAAAAACCATGTGTTAAGTTAAGCGAGGTTCGACTGTATGTATATGAAGACTGGTGTAGTACGAACGCATTGTATACAACATTCTCTTCGCTTCATTTTTTTTAAGTCTTTCTTGTGTGATTTTGTACTGAAGTTGTGACGAGGAGGAACAAACTGTTGTAGCAATCACACGATACTCTACTTTCCCACCGGACCTTTCGCAGGCGTGAACAACACCACGGAAGCTACCGCTGTCACGACCACGTACGATCGCCTCTTCTCGTGCAAAAAGTCGATGGAGGCTGTCATGGTGAAACACAACCTCGGCAACGACGCCTCCAAGGTCACAGCTAAGATGCTCTCAGACGCTTACAAAAAGGTGTGGTTTTATTATGTTTATATGCCGTCTTTTTTTTTTTTTTGTCGTTGCCTTGCCATCTTGGAACCTTGTCTTGTGGTGTGGTGCACTTGTGTTTCTTCGTCCGTCAGCTCTCTTCCTTCAAATTCAAATATGTGGTTGTTCTACAGTACTACATGCTGTTGCTGTTGTTGCGTCTTTCACGCGACCACCAAGAGCTTCTTCTCCCTGTGCCGAACTTGAATAATACTTAGGTACTTCGAAGTACGTTCGTAGAAAACCGTGATAATGCCATGTGAATGATGGAAGAAAGAGTGGTGGTATAATATGATTTCAGTACTTCACTTGTTTTTCTTCAATGTCGTACGTACAGTTATTGTCGGATGGCAACAACAATTAATAGTGGTCGTTACATAATTTGCTGTGTATTTCGACATCTTTTACGTCATGCCCGCAAGCTTGCTTTCGCCCCCTCATTGCCTTCCGTTCTATTTTGTTCCTTTATTTTCAGCTTTGCTTATCAGGTAGAGCAAAGCCTTTGCCTCGGTCCTCAATACGTTCCCTGTCTCGAGGTCTTCATAGCTCTGCCCCGCACGCATCCATGCTTCGAAAAATTATTCATGTTTACCACTTTACGGGTGGTGCTGTGTCTGTGCTGTGTCCGTGAATATGTTTCCGTACTTGTATGCTTGAAGAGCGGGGACTCACCGCCCAGCAACCCGACTCTTTGTAGCTACAAGAGGCTCGTGATTGGGCTCAAGGCTCCTGCGTTTGCGGCATTGAAGGCGGTGTCGGAAAGCGAGGAGAAGGGCGTGGATATCGGATGCTTGTCGAAGAGTCTCCTCGACTGCGACGCTGTTCTCAAGTTCCCTCCCGGACGCGAGTTCGAGCAGTCTCTCCTCATCCACATCCTTGCGAGGTACCATATTTATTTCGCGGTAGAAGCACCCCAACCATTCCTGAATAGGTTATTGTGTCCAACATCATCGCTCTTGTTTCACGCACTTGGAAAAGTGTGGTCTCGCTTGCCAAATTAGGTTTCTATCGGTTTCATGCCTCTGACGTCTATTTTTCTGGAGGTTCTGAACAACGCTTCTTCCAACCGCTCGCGCTTGTCGTGCTATCCACTAGGTTTAAGACCAACGAACCGGGGCACAAGATGCCTGCCAAGACCGACCTTCCCAAGCTGAAGCAACGGGCGCTCGACGCTGGAGAGTACTTCCAGCTCGTGACATCCGTCATCCCGTACGAAAGCTGGACTTCTCCTTTCCACAAGTAGGTTCTATCTACCTGAGTGTAGCCCAGAGGAGTACCGTAAGTTGGTCTGTGGTGCCACGGGGGCTTCTGTCATGCCCCCCCTCCATGCTTGCAGTAAAGTAGGATGATCGTGCCGTCGTGCCTCCGGGGTCGCAAGCTTTTTACCCCAAATAAATAGAACATGCTCCCTCCCATTTTTTGCCGTTCGTTATCCCCCCGGGGTTGTGTGCTTTGACAAAAAAAAGTCATTCCCCCCGGGGGTGTTAATTTCCCCACTTGAAATTATACATTGGATTAAGACAGGAGTTCATTTGGGATAGACTTCATGGCCTGTTGCCGGCAGTACGAGTGCGTCACTGCATGTTGGGGCATGAAGTCACACCGAGCAGTAAATACGACATGTTTTTGTTGTGTTGGTTGATTTGCAGGCAAATTTCTCCTCGTTATCGCGCTCTATCGTTTCCTCCTCCTCCTCCCTCTCCTCCTTGTCCCGTTGAAGGGCTGCTCGGCTGCTCGTAGAATTGTTGCATCGTGATGGATGTACGATTGGTATGTGAGTGGTGTGTTTTTTGTTCTCCCGGGGGGGTGTTCGCCCGAGGTAGTGTCAACGAAATACAAAAAAATCCCCTCCCCGTTTTCCCATGTGCCCCCCGGGTGGTGTGCATTACAACAAAAGAAGAAGGTTGTCCTCCCCGGGGGCACGATAGCTCAATTTACGGCATGTGCCTGTCGCGGTGCTTCGTGCCATCATGAGAAGCAGCTCCGGCGCGAAGGTCGGGGCGTACGTGGTTTGTTGCTGGTATTGTCGAAGAAGAGGCGGCGTGTATCCCGATTGCGACGTTGCCCTCAACAATGTGACCTTGGGCGATAGTGTGAGTGCTGCTGACCTAGCGCTACATGATGACCGCTTCCGCACGGCATGCACGCACAAAGGTCGTTTTACTCGTTGGTGTACGGCAAGCACACCGACTGGGAGACTTGGGGGAAAGGTCACATGACAGTGAGGGACGACCACGTGGAGCACCGGGCTGGCATGTTGAAGAAGAATCACAAACTGTCCGAGGAGCATGTCCGGATCATCAAGTCTCAGCTTCCCTCCAAGCTGGCTCAGGTACGCTAGCCCTTACCCCGTTGCTCGCGTACTCTTTCGCATGCGTATTTTCCTTTTCTCTTGAGAGCGAGGGACAGCCACCGCCGTGTTACAGAGAGACCTAACGTGAGTTGCTTGGGTGACCAACGTGATGTTATTGCCGACCCTTGACACCCACCGGAGGACTCGAAGGATCAAGCACGTGCCTGCGTCTCCGTCGAGCTCCTAGCATCCTGCATCCATCAGCGCACTCACTACTGTTCACCGATGAACAAACCACCCTCGACGCTTGCTTCCCAGGTTGCCAAGAAGAGTCCGGACATGCAGCCTTTTGTTGACACCTGGGACAAGAAGATGGCTGAGGTGGATGTTTTCGTGGAACAGCACAAGGCTTCCGCTGACAGCTCGTCGTCATCTAGTTCTTCGCCAGAGTCCTCCGACGACGATGACTCGCCTGAGCTTCGCCCTTGCGGCGTGTGCAAGCCCCCTCCCGATGAAGGGTGAGAACCCGCAGGCGTCCGAGTTTCCCCCACCCCCCCCCCAATCACAGTTTCGGCCTGAATGCACCTATTATTGTAGGATTTACCCCCGGAGTAGACCATTATCGCCAGAAAAAATAGAAGCTTCCCCCTGAGTACCGTTTTCCCCCCGAGTTCCCCCCGGGGGGGAGCATTTTCCGGTTGTTTTGGACTCGTTCTTTTTCCGCGAAGCACAGACACGGGAGGACGACGCAAACTCTCACAGCCGCTGTCGTCCTTGCGTCTTTCTCCTCACATTCTGTGCGTTTTTCCTTGATCCTCACCCCGCTTCTTGAGTGCTGCTCATGAACCTTATGTATGGCGGTCACCATTCTCGTTGTGTGCGGAACCAACCACTACTTTTTCACAAGGTAGACAGCCCCCGGGGTAGCATAGGAGAACCCCCCCCCCCCCCCCCC